GTAGTGGCACGAGCAGTGAAAGCAGTAATACTAGTAGTAGTAATAGTAGTAGTAGTAGTAGTAGTACTAGTAATAGCAGTCGTAGTAGCAGTAGTAGTTGTTGTAGAAGTAGTAGTAGTAGTAGAAGTAGTAGTGGTAGTAGTAGTAGTAGTAGTAGTAGTGGTAGTAGTAGTAGTAGTAGTCGTAGTAGTAGTAGTAGGAGTAGGAGTAGTAGTAGTAGTAGTCGTAATAGTCGTAGTAGTCGTAGTAGTAGTAGTAGTAGTAGTACTAGTAGTAGTAGTAGTAGTAGTAGTAGTCGTAGTCGTAGTCGTAGTGTAGTGGTAGTCGTAGTAGTCGTAGTAGTAGTAGTAGTAGTAGTAGTAGTAGTCGTAGTAGTAGTAGTAGTAGTAGTCGTAGTAGTAGTAGGTAGTAGTAGTAGTAGTAGTAGTAGTAGTAGTAGTAGTAGTAGTAGTAGTAGTAGTAGTAGTAGTAGTAGTAGGTAGTAGTAGTAGTAGTAGTAGTAGGTAGTAGTAGTAGTAGTAGTAGTAGTAGTAGTAGTAGTAGTAGTAGTAGTAGTAGTAGTAGTAGTAGTAGTAGTAGTAGTAGTAGTAGTAGTAGTAGTAGTAGTAGTAGTAGTAGTAGTAGTAGTAGTAATAATAGTAGTAGTAGTAGTAATAATAGTAGTAGTAGTAGTAGTAGTAGTAGTAGTAGTAGTACTAGTAATAGCAGTCGTAGTAGCAGTAGTAGTAGTTGTAGAAGTAGTAGTAGTAGTAGAAATAGTAGTGGTAGTAGTAGTAGTAGTAGTAGTAGTAGTAGTAGTAGTAGTAATCGTAGTAGTAGTAGTAGTCGTAGAAGTAGTAGTAGTAGTAGTGGGAGGAGGAGGAAGAAAAAAAGGTATCGGTGACACGGTCCGCAGCTTCGAGCTTCGAGGAGGAGGAGGAGGAGGTATCGGTGACACGGTCCGCAACTTCGAGCTTCGAGGAGGAGGAGGAAGAGTTATCGGTGACACGGTCCGCAGCGTCGAGCTTCGAGGAGGAGGCGGAGGGGAACCAATAGTCGGCGGATGCAGAGGAAAAGAAAGCGAAGGAGGAGGAAGAAAAAGAGAAACTGGACGAGGACGAGGAGGAGGAGCAGGAGCGGGATGTTGGGACCCCGCCTCTCCCTACTCCGTGCCTCTCCGACCCTTTCCCGCCTCCCCCCCCTTTCGTGCATCTCATGCCCCTCCGAATGCCCCCCTCCTCCTCCCGCCTCCCATCTACCGTCTCGTGCCTCTCCTCCCCCTCCTCCTCCTCCTCCTCATCCTTACCGCGCATCCTCATGATGCGGGTTGACTGTAAGACTCGGGCTCGGGGGACTCGGGTTGGACTGACGGGGCCATCATGACGATGACGAGACCGAGTCTGAAATTTGACGCGAGCTCCCGCTGCAAACATCCGACGAAAACTGGACTGTCTAAATCCAGGACGCGCTCGCCAAAAAGCGTCGGCAAATCCGAGTTCTGGCGTACTCGAGTCTTACGCTTCCCCCAAAAAAGGAAGGGGCCCAGGGACACGCAAACAAATAGACACGAATCCCAGGACTTCAGCATTCTTCAATAGTTTCTGGCGTTTCGTCTCCCCCCTCCACTTCTCACACTTTCCAAAAAAATCCTTGGCGTCGACGATTCTTTGTGTCTCTCTGCTCTTTTCCCCCCCGAAGGGAAAAACCGCGCGGATGCCCCAGCTCTGCGCCGCACCCCCCTCCCCGGCGACCGGAGCGCACCTGGCACAGCGCCGGAGGTGTCGCCACCGGGGAGCCAGGCGCCGATGCAAGAGCTTCGCGCGGATCTCCGAACATTCCTCGGTGCGGCTCTCAGAGGGCTCCCGGAGGGGGTCACGGTGGCTGGGGTCGGAGGGTCGCGCCGCATCGTCGATGCATCACCGATGCGTCGACGGTGTCGACGATGCATCGCTGATGCATCGCCGACATCGGCGATGCTCCTGCCGAATGATCTCACTCGAGATCTAGAGTATGCACGCACTCCGAGCGCGCGCGCCGTCTTCGCCCCTGGGCCGCGGCGGCGCCTTGCGCGCCCTTCCACTCGGCCCCGCCCTGCTTGCCGTCGGAGCCCTGCCAGTCACCGCCCCCTGGCGGCGCGCCGCCCAGGATCGCGGGGGGCGACGAGGCAGGCCGTCCTACCCACCCCCCAGTACTCCTCCTCCTCCTCCTCCTCCTCCTCCTCCTGCTCCTGCTCCTCCTCATCCAGGATTAGGTGGGTTTAGTGCTATGCAATTCTAGAGCCGCGGTCCCTCCTCCTCCAGGGGGGGGGACGAGGATGGACGGGTCTGAGCGGTCTGAGCGCCTTGACATACTCTGCGGGGACTACGGGGCCATCTGCCTCTTTTCCTCCCTCCCCCTCCCTCCACCCTCGTTCCGCTCCTACTACTCCTCCTCCCCCTCCCCCTCTCTCGTTCATCGTTCATCTTTCTCCTCTGTCTCTCTCTCTCTCCCTCTCTCTCTCCCCAACCGTGACTGTGGCACGATGAGGTGTGGAAGAATGCCCAGGGCTGCCTGGCCGGGCTTCTGTAGCTTTCTAAGGGGCCCCCCGCCCGACTGCACCACCCCTGCTCCCGGGGGGTCTCCGGGCGGCGATGGCGCCTCCCCAGGGGCTCTCCAGGGCTTCCGTGACGGCCCACGACGTCCCCGGGACGGTCCAAGAGGGCCCGAGTCGCCGAACGATCGCTCGAAGATGCCCAAGATGGTCTCCAGATGGCCCCAGAGGCCTTCAAGACGCCTCAAGAGGCCTCCAAGAGGCCTCCCAAGAGAGCCCCAAGAGGCACAAAGCATTGGTTTTCGTTGGTTTTTGGAGGATTTGGGCGTGGAGGATTTGGGCGTTCTCGTCTTTTCGGCAACCCGACGCTCCAAGACAGCCCACGAGGCCCCCAAGACCATCCCCAAACAGCTCAAGAGGCCTCCAAGAGGGCCCCAAGACGGCTGAAGAGCGCCCCAAGACGGCCCAAGAAGCGCCCAAGACGGCCCGAGGGGGCCCCAAGACGGTCCCAAAAAAGGCCCAAGAGAGGGAACACGAACCGCAAATCCGAGTCTTCCGCCCGAAAAGAGGCCCCAAGAGGCCCCCAAGGGGCCTCACAAGGCCCCCAAGAGCCCCCAACCCAAAAGAGGTCCAAAAGAGGCCCCAAGAGGCTCCAACTCGACCCCCAGGAGGCCTCAAAACTGCCTCCAAGTCCCCGATAGGCCCCACGAGATCCCAATGAAAATCAATTACATAGGCTGCATACCGACAACTCCGGCACGGTGGCGAGACTTGCCGTATGCAGCTGGGCATCTTGTCATCCCTCTCTCTATGTAAATACAAATGCACATACATACATACATATATGCATGCATGCATACATACATACAGATAAACAGACAGACATACAGACATACAGACAGACAGACAGACAGACCGACACAAACAGACATACACACATACACACATCCATCAATCCACCATCCATGCATGCATGCATGCATGCATACACACATGCATACTGACATGCATATATATATATAGATATATATATACACACACGTACATACATATACACACCAACACATGTGTACATATGTATATATGCACAACATACATGTGCACGTATATACGTACGTACACACATACATGCATGCATGCATACACACATGCACACATGCATACATACATACATACACGCATACATGTATACATCCATACGTACCCTTACGGACGTACGTGCGTGCATACACATACATACATACATGCATACATACATGCATCCGTACACACATATGCATGCATACACACATACACACATGCATACATGCATCAGCACATACATACATACATGCATGCATACATACAGACATGCATACGTACATACATACGTTCATACATGCACACATGCATACACACATGCATACATGCACACATGCATACATACATACATGCATACATGCATACATGTGTGCATCCATACATACACACATCTACAGACATGCGGAGATGCATGCATACATGCATGCACGAATGCACGCATACATACATGCATGCAACCATAAACGCACCTACAACTATACACACATACACACAGTCATGCAAGCACGCATATATGCATACATACATGCACATACACACATGCATACATACATGAATATATACATGCATGGATGCATACATATACATGGATACATACATATACATACATACGCGCATGCATACATACATACGTAATGCATAGACACATACATATGTGCATGCACACATATTCACATACATATGTACGTTGATACATACATACACATACACGCATACATACACACGTACACACATGCATACATACAAACACACACATACAAACATACAATCAACCACACATACACACATACATACATACATACATACATACATACACATACATACATGTCTACATCTATCCATTCATACATACATATTGACAGACATGCACGCGACATACACATATGCATACACGCATACATATCTGCATGCATGCGTGCATACATACATGCACATCTACATACGTACATGCATGCATGCACACATACATGCATGCATGCATGCATGCATGTATACATGCGTATGTGCATGCATACAGACAAACTGGCATACATAGAGACAAACATACACACGTATACTCCCAATCTCTGGCATCCTCCAAATACACCTCATATTTATCTTCCTTCTTTTGTTACTCCCTAGTGTTACCCTCTCTTCTGCTCTCCCATGTCCGTCGCCCCCTGTTTCTCATTCCACTCGCCCTCCCTCCCTCCCTCTCCACAGGGAAAAGGAGGAGGAGAGGCTAAGAGGACGGATGGGGAAGAGGAGAGAGAGGAGGAGGGAGTAGAGGGAGACGGTGACAGAAAAAGGTATGATGTAGGACGGTGAGGTGGTAGTGGCGACGTGGGCGGGGACGAAGAAGAGAAAGGGTGAATGAGCTGAACGGGCATGGTCAAAACGCCTCAACCGTGATAACCCGCTTCCGTGGCGACTTCCCCCCGCGCGAACGTGAGCAGGTGGCCAAAAGCGTGCCCCGAAGGCGAGCGACGGGTGGTCGACTTGCCAAGGGGGACACAAGCGTGGGGTGAAGAGACGCGCGCCGTTCGCGCAGTTTTCTTGGACCCACGGTGTCAGCCTAGGGGCGGTTCGTGGATGAACTGGTTTACGTCGCCGATGAATCGGGGGCCGATGCCTCTGGGCTTCGGATTTGGGCCCTGGCCTCTAGGCCTCTTGATTTCGCGCATCGCGCCTGGCGTTCTGCGAAGTTATGTTCGCACCCCTCCGTTGCCTCATGGATAAGTGTAGCTCTCCGACCCTGGTCGCGACGCACGCAGTGCGGTTATCCTCGCGCATGTGTTCGCGCTTGTGTGTGTGTGTCTCTGCGCGCGCGCGTGTGCGTGTGCGTGTGCGTGCGTGTGCCCAAGGGGCGCAGCGTCATGAGACCCCTGTGTCCAGGGGGCGCAGCATAATGAGACCGGCCCGCGCGCACACTAAAACGGACGTGATATGCAAAGCGCAACCACCGCGTCGGCGCGCCCCATCGCTGGTTTGGCCACCAATGAGCCGAAACGCGGTACTCCCGTCAGTGGCGTGTCCTGATGATGGACTGGAGCTGGTCATACAGAAATTGACGTCCCTTCAAATCGACTGTAGCACAGGGTCCATCATCGGCGACGCCATAGGGGCCATGGCATCATGGACACCATCGGCGACTACAACATCGAATCTTATAACATGCCTTATCATTCGCTGAATAAAGATCTCAGGGTGACTGATGGTCTCTTGACCTGGCAAGTGTGTGTGTGTGTGTGCGTGCGTGCGTGCGTGCGTGCGTGCGTGTGTGGGCACGCCCCTCGCTGGTTTGGCCACCAGTGAGCCGAAACGCGGTGCTCCCGTCAGTGGCGTGTCTTGATGAAGGACGGGAGCTGGTAATACAGAAATTGACGTCCCTTCAACTCGACTGTAGCACAGGGTCCATGGTCGGCGGCACCATAGGGGCCATGGCATCATGGACACCATCGGCGACTACAACGTCGAATCTTATAATATGCCTTACAATTCGCTTAACAGGCCCTCAGGGTGACTGATGGTCGTTTGACCTGGCGAATGTGTCGGACGCGCTTCGGCGTGCTCCAAAGAATTCTTTCGCTATTACCGCGAATGTCCATGAACCGTTTTGCGGCCCCTTCAAAGAAGCCTTGCCATCAGCTTGTGCGGCAGCCTGCTGATTTTGCTCCGCGCGGGCACTCCCTCTGCTTCTGCCCCCCCCCTTTTCGCCCTCTCCCCGCGTCGCCCTTTTCTCTTCTACCGTCCCCCCTGCGTTCCCCGCTCCAACACTCATGCCCGAATCTTACAACAATATTGCAACAATCTTCGTTTATGCAGTTGTGCAGCGAATTATGGGGCGTTCCGTCTAGGCTTGCCGACTCCACCCGCGCGTCCTCCATGGTCGGGCATTACTCCGCGTGGGCGGCGTTGCGCCAGCGATTTACCATTAGTGGTGCGCCATGGGAGTGATATTTGCTCTCACCTTCCTCCTCACGGTACTCTCTCCTCGTTTTGTCTTGCCGTCGGTCGTTGCGATTGTTGTCGTCGCTGTCGTCGTCGTTTCTCCCATGCCGTTTTTGGCATCGCCGCGCGCGCAGCGCAATGTGGAGCCTTGGGCGCGGTTGGGGCGTTCCGCGTGTTTCTCTGCTTCGGCGTCGGGTCGTCGTCGTGGTCTCGGTCGTGCTCGTCGCCCCCGTTCCCCTTTTCCCTCCTTCCTTTCCTGTCGCTTTCCCGTGTCGTCTTCCTCGCCTTCTCTCGCCCCGCCCTTCCCCCCCTTCGTCGTCGTCGTCGTCGTCGCGCGTGGCCACGCCGCGTGGGGAAACTCAGCGATGTGTATTTTTGGTACCCGATTTCCCGCAGTCTCAAAGCAGCAGCCGGCAAAATGTCACAGCCGATCGGTTTGTTACGACTATGCCATCGTTCATGTGCGCAGCATCGTCTCTGCCGATGCGCCGTCGAGGCGCCTGGCTCTTTACTTACGCGCGTTGCGTCGTTTCCCCTTTACCTCCGTCGACGGCCGCGGGTGCGGCGTCGTAGTCGGGGTCGCGG